TATATATATATATATATAAGTATCCACCGTCGATAGAAGTGACTAATCTCCTCGCTATGTTGGAGGCGCCTCAAAGAGTGGGATACTCTCGCTACGTTGGAGACACCTCGAAAGGTGGGATAGCTGACTCCAATATATATATATATTTCTAAACATAAAAAGAAGAGAGAGACAAATGAAAGACGTGACAATAAATAATATATTGCTATAGGAAAACTGGAAAACAGATATTAAATGAAATAAATAATAATAAAACATATATTGTGCAACTATGAAAGTATATGAATATTGTTATTGATTTCTTTTTTCTTTTTTTCTTTTTTCTCTTTGTCCAGGTACTCACACCTTGTTCATTCTCTCGAATATTGAAGGTGTCATTCTCTGAAAGCTATGAATTTTACACAATTACACCTGCCTCTTAGCGGATGATACTGAGTTTTGCGGTTGTGGCCCACACTGTCACTTTTCATAGTGAGTAGGGATATTCATGCACCTGTTTTAATTGTATTTTTTTTTAGAGCATACTAGTGAACTAAACTCAATTATTTTTCTATATATATGTTGGGATACAAACAAGTCCCACATCGATAAAATAACACAAGAAATAACAACTTATATAATACAAACATACTTTAATGATTGAGAGGCCTTTTAGGTGATGACCAAAAGTAAAACTGTGAGGGCTAAGGCCCAAAGCGGACAATATCTCATCATTGCATCGATAAAATAACACAAGAAATAACAACTTATATAATACAAACATACTTCAATGATTGAGAGGTCTTTTGGTGATGAACAAAAGCAAAACGCTAAGTCTCAAAGCGGACAATATCTCATCATTGTGGAGTATGTTTGTGTAATAACCTTATAAAAATAACTCATAAAATATCCTCTCAGACAAATACCATAAAAATAACTCCATCAATATATACATTTTTTTTATAACTTTTTTGTGTGTGAAAGTGTACAAAGCTATATTAAACTTAACTATCAATCAACTTCAAAATCCACAAGAGACAATAATTAATGTTAGTATTAAAGCAGTTGGTGTTACTAAACTGCCATCTATACAATTCTCTTTTAAATTAGCAACTTCCAAGTGATTCAGGAATTAATAAGCTATGTAAGATATAGTCATGCTTCAAACACTTAAAACAATTTCATTTTCACAATAAGCTGCGAGGCAATAGAGAATAAGTTGTGCCATCAACAAAAGAAGAAGCATATTCTACATTAGAGAAATTTAAAAATAATAATTTTTTATTTTAGAAAGATCATTAACGGAAGCCAAATTTTGTGAACGCAAGTTAGTCATCATTTATCAGTTTTAAACCAATGCATGACCCATATTTATGTTTAAAAAAATAAAAAGAATACTAAGAAATAACTCTTCAACCTATTTATGGTTTTTCCACAAATAAATATTATATTCATTAATTTTCTACTTGATGGTGAACATTTACATATTTTTGGTAGAACATTTATATTTTATCCTACTAGTTTGACTTGAATGCTTCATTGACTATATTTCCAAGGCACAAGTGGTGCATAGATAAGTTGTACATGGTCCTGATTTCATTTGGAACCAGCCAGATCAGGTGATGGACAACGAAGACCAATGTTTGTCTGATTTCAATTTTATTGCTTTGGTGTTATTCACATGTTTTCTGTAGACACACATACATGCCATACCATGTTGATCATATCATAGAGCTAGAGAGAGATGCTGCTCTATTTTGCCGTTTACTTCCCTAATCTGTCAACTAAACTACACTTTTTTTTTCTTTTTCTGAGCTCTGGGCATCACGTGCTGGCAATTGTGCATGGAACATGCCTTCAATTGAGTAAGTGACAAAACTGGTGCAATAAAACAAATCCATTTCCATTTGATAACATGCTTGGTTTTGGTCTAACATTTTAGTAAACATGCTTTCCCTTGTGTATATATACGGTAGAGATATGGTATTGTTTATAATGGTAGACAAATGAAAAACTTTCAGAAGCTTTGATCCAATTGAAATTTTGAAAATGATTCCGGTGAAGTTAAAATCTCAATCATTAAAATTAAATTAGTAAAAAATTAGATTCAGGTGAACATCTTGCTTTGTTATCAGTTTTTATTTCAAATATTAAAAAAAAACATTTTTATGTCAAAATAAATTCTGCCCTTGAAGAAACAAAAGATTATAAAACTATGTAAATGAAAGATATGTATCACCTAAAAAGGTTGATATTTTGTACGTACTTAATTGTCTTGAGTCTTGACTACAACAAATATTATACAATAAACATCTGTTAATGTGATATATACTCCTCTGCTTACGTTCAGCTCAAGTGACACGGCCCTAAAATTGGTCTTGGATAGCATGACTCACAATAATGATTGATGACTTATAAACGCGTTAAAGAATATAAAAGTAAAATACTAATAACACATTTTTTAAGACATTGTTTTAGACACTCTTAATTATTAATTATTGTTTTAAAAAAATTATAAAATTGTGTCAATATTATTCCTTATTCAACAAGTTTTCACGCATGATTTTACTGTTTAATAAATTCTAAGCAATAAAAAGTATGATATTAACTCCTGAGAACATATTAGCAAGTGGACTATGAGAAAACTAAAACCCAACAAACTCACACACCCTGCACATAAATTCTAGTATCTGGCTCACGAATTGTATCTTGGCTTCGCAAATTACACTCTTCCAAAGAGCATTTGTAACCAGGACTCATCTGCAATTGAATAGCTTTGTACATAACAAACTTAGTAAAAATACATATCCTATTCATATATGGCAAAGCTTCTTTTTCCCAAAGAAAATCTTCTACTCTATATATAATCTATAATATATATAACTCAAATCTTTTACAAGGATTTTTACAATTTAACAAGAAAAAAAAAAATGGGCCAGAACATACATGCACCCCCAGACCCTTCAAAATCACCTGGTTCCAGGTTGTTCCTGACAGCCAAAAAGATGTGACACTGACATGAGTGATACACATGCAGCTAAGGTGAAGGACTGTCATCATCTGAGGAACTGTAATGTCTCTTTCCAATGAGTCCAGGAAGTGGTTGTGGAAGCATAGGGTTCACTGGGACAGGGAATCTATGTGCAGAACTAACCATGGTTTTCTCATTTATCATACCAACTTCTTTGCACACCCTATCAAGAACTGTTAAGAAGTCTCTCACTACCATGAAGATTCTAAATGGATGAGCTTCTTCCTTTGACAAGTTCCCATGGAAATACTCTGTGATCTCCTTCACAAGTGATAGAGCAACACTTTCTTGGGCTTGGACTTTTAGAATCTCCTCCTCAGCCATCTTCATGAACTTGTTCATTGACTCTTTGAACTTCTGGCTGCTCTCATCTGACCCTGCATTTTCATTCAACTGCACAACCTCTGCAATGTGTGCAATTCCTTTGGAGAGTTTTGAGACCTCGCTGCTGAGGACTTCCGAGTCCATCACGGCGGCCTTCTTCACGTTTGCTAGATCTGAACTTAGACTGGAGACCACTTGCAGGCCGAGCCGTCTGCACTTGGCATCATCGTTTGAATTCACATTTGGGGCTTGGTTGGTGGTACCTGAGAGACGAGCACCTTCGGTTCTGATGATTTCTTGTACAACGAAGTGAAGTAGAGTGGTTTTCCCGTCTGCGCCTTTGACATCAACCAGCTTGAGAAGCGTGTCAAGCTTGAATGCCTGTGCATCCCCACGGTTTGTCCCCACATTCATGCGGTTCCCGGTTTTGAGCACGGCCTCTAGAAGCTTCAAGAACATTCTACTGTTTCGCAGCTCCTCACAGGCAGTCTGCAAATGCAAAGGCACTAAAACTGGTGACATGTACAAAGAGAAACCTCATGAGAATATCTTAACATATGGGGAAGAATAATGATTACCTCCAAAGTTTGAAAGGATTTCCTAAGATACTCCAGTTCTGACTCAAAATTAGCTATGTAAAGCATTGCTTCTACCCTTTTAAATGCGAAAGGCACATCAAGCACTGCCTTCAAAAATTTCTCAGCAGGACCAAGCTTGGTTGGAGAATCATCTTTATGTTCCTTCAATTTGCGTTCTTCCTCCTTGCTTGGTGCCATTTTTAGCAAGCTTTCAAGTAGTTCAGTTCCAAGTGTATCAGTAATACCTGTCAAAAGATAAATTAATTAAGCTGCATAGCATAATAAATACAAAAAAAAAATAGTAAATGTTGGAAAGTGGTGGACAGATATAGTCATTAAAAAGTACATTCTTATGAACTAGGGCTACAAGCAAGGTAGTGTAACGACTAAAAGTGAATTTTTATCACCAAATAGAATGTAGAGAGAGTACACCACAAAAATGAGAAAAGATGAAACCTCTTTCATTTGGCACTTTATGAATCTTGTGAATCACATGACATAAAGTCATAGACTTACTAAAGCCTAGATTTATAGTGCACAAGTATATTGTTTCGGTAACCAGACTACTGGAGTCTGGAGGACAGAAATAACTCAACCTAAAGAAATTCTCCAGAAATACAGCAATGCAATAGCAGAACAAAACAGCTCACTAGCTTCATTCAATCACAACTAGTCATTTGCACAAATATTATTATCTAGGCAACAAACACATCTTCCCCTCAATGAAGACCTACACCTAACTTCTACAAATATACTAAAGCAAAAGATGTTGCCAAATTAGTGTCAGAAATATCTCTGTTCTTTTTCCTTTAAATTTCTCCCACTGTATCCAGAAACTATTTAAAATACACAAGTATCAACTGCACATGCAACTAAAATTGATGTGTCATGAGTGGGTAAGGAATTTATTCCAAATGATTATCTTCAAGAGGCCAAGCTGAGCAAGAATTTACATAGGTGTCAATATTACCACAACTGCCAACACTTCAAACAGAAGTTGTTCTATCCAAGGTACAATCAATATCAATAATTACAACAAAGCTAAGGAAATGAAAAGTTATGACCTCAAGCCTATAACCAAAGGAAAAATACCTTCTAACAGTGCTTCACACACTTCTTCTATGGTCACATTAAGTGCTCTTAACAAGATAGCGATGTTTTGAGACTTTTTAGGATCCAGCACCCTATCCTCCTGATTTTGAGGGGCAAGAACTGAGCGAGGTGTAGTATCCTTGGGTTTTGGGTTTGGTGTGTTCACTACAAACAAAGTTTCAATCATCTCTTCATTCAACCTGCAGCCAAACCAATTCAAAGCACTTTAATCCATGAACACAATCAAAACATTCAGGCATGAATCATCAACTACCAAAAGTGTCATTCCCCAATCATTGCAACTATAACAGAAATTCATAAACCAAAAACCCATAACAACAAAACAAGACAGTAAAGTAACATAGTGACAGTTGAAGATCTTACTTAAAAGAACTGGACCTCAATTGATCCCACACCATCTCACGATCAGAGCTGGCTCTCACTTTGTCCCAATGCAAAGGCTTCAACTTAGGTTTAGACATCTCCTCAGGATTCTCCTCAAAACTCTGAGAACTAGCAGGTGGCAACTCAACAGGAGAAACCTTAGTATTTGGGGTTTGCAACACAAAAGGCCTAGAAGGAGGCGTCAGTGCCGGCGGCCTTGAAACCGGTTGACCCACCGGGGTAACCGGAGAAGGCAACGGCACCTCCCACTGCTTCCGCTGCCGCACCACCGGTAGTGGCGGTGGAGGTGGTGGAGGTGGCGGAGGAGGGGCTAAAACACTACTAGATTGACCAATTGGTACCGAAAGAACCGGAATTTCCCATTGTTTCCTCTGTGGAGCTGAAAAGTTTGGTGATTCGCTAATTGGGGTCAACAAGTCAGGAATCTCCCAGTGCTTCCGAGAAGGTGGTGGCTGAGGCTGAGGCTGAGGTTGAGGTTGAGGCTGAGGCTGAGGCTGAGGCTGAGGGTTCAACTCTATCTCCGGTGACGAAAGCAACGTCGGCGACAGAGGCAGTGATGAAAGAGGAGAATGCCGATACCGATCTGAAACATCGGATATGGTCGGAGACTGATCCAACCCGTGATGCAAGTTCATTCCTCTTTCAGGCGACGGCAGAGAAAACGCCGACGACTTCCCAACAGAAGAAGCATTCGACAGTCTCGGCGACCCACCTTCGTTTTTCTCCTTAGATGAGCCAAAAGAATCCGTCTTTTCGAGCACAACGTGTCCCGGGACAGATTCACCATCTGGGTTTTTCTTCGGCGACAGAGAGAGTGGCGAGAGCGACGGCGACTGGCATTCCCTCCGCTCCGGCGACGACGACATTGACGACGAAGGCACGTGCTGACCGAAAGCCGGCGACGGAGACGAGAGTGTGGACAAGGATGGCGAGTGTG